CGCTGAGTGGCGCACTTTTCTCCTTCATATCTCAGAATTTAAATTTTGCTATTTATTAAACTCTAGGCCGGTATTCAGAAAGCCAAAAAAGAGCCTGGAAAATGAATTCTTCACCAAGCTGCACCTCCTCAAAACTCAAAGTTGCAAAACTTATCAGATTGCAGCGTTATCTGCTGGAATAAGGACCTCTCATTTACACTAGTGGCCCCACCACGCTGACTCGCTGAAGACGATGATGACAATCAGAAACCCGTTTTTTTGATACGGTATATGGATTTCTTATACAGTATGTCAGATTCACTGGAAACAGTGAAAGATACTTCCTCACTTCTTTGATACACAGCCAACGCAACTCGTTCAGAGTTGGTTGCACACGAATATAAAAAAAAGAAAACCACCAAAGAAAAAAATCAGAAAAAAAGTAGTAAATCCCCGGGGCAGAAAAAAGTTACTTTTACTCGTGAGGTAACAAAACTAGTAAACTAAAAAATTGAACACGATAGCACATCTCAGCTTATAACTCAGCGAAAAAACCAAGTTTCAACTAAATGCAGCAAGAAACTCGTTGCTCAGGAATATCAATAGCATTAATTATTAATTACTTGAAAGAAAAGCAACAAATTGAGTTCACGTTCGCTTGCGCATCCATAACTTTAACAAGTACTCTATAGATACGATTTAAAGGGTAAATAAAATCAGACATACAAGAAGTAGAAGACACTTCAGTGGAGGCCACTCCTTACAGCTCTCTAAGATAATAATTCGTTAATATTACAGAAGCAAAACACAACTTCTGTAACAGGTTTTTAACGCTTAAAGCATTTTTATAGCCGTTTTATAGCCGTTTTCTGTGGCTTTCAGAATTGGCATTAAATCGTTTCGCCACTGTAAAATACATGAGACCACTGAAAGACTTTTTGATAACATACACAGTTCGCCATTTTTTTTGAACCTGGAAGAGACAGACTTTCAAATAAAGTGAATATCAGGAAATTCGTTGTGAATGAAGGAAACTATGAGTTCTTAAAAGTGGCCATGTTGAAGAAAAATTGCGCTCTTTTTAACACTTTAGAATACTCTAATTTTGTAAGCAGCACACTTTGAGGTAAACTCTTTTGATTTCACAATCCGGTATGATGTGCTACAAGTAGGCAAAAAATGAAAAAATCTGAAAAGTCGATTGACGAAAGTGTACGACTTGGCATGGAATGGCCTATATATATACGTAATGAATGTGTTGTCAAGATCGTGAAAAAACGAGCATCTATCCAAAGGTACGGAATGGAGAGTATTTAACAAACTCTACCATTCTTCCCACTTTTGAACAGCTCCGTAAGCATACTCTCAACACAGAAGACAATCAAACGAATCTACCACTTGATCTTTCTCAATATCTTGCGGCTTTCGGCTATCCTTTGTAAAATCTAATGGCTCTTCATTATGGTCAAAGAATAATTCTGGATCCCAAATAATACTGTACTCATCTCCATCAAGGTCAGAACCTCAAGTAGATAAATTTATTCGGTAATAACTAGTACACCAGAAGTTGTTATCTCTTAAAAAACATTCAGAGTACCTGCCATCTCATCTGGATGCGGTCGAGGACCTGACTGAGGAAAAACTACAACGTCAACTAAGTGGTTTAGCTCAGGAATATCAATAGCATTAAAAACCCTTACATCGCCAGCCACAACAGAGGGATTTTTCGTAATCAACACTTTTCCTTAAACAGGCAGCTGCTAGTGTAATGATTTAGGAAATTTCGAACTTGACAAATAAAGTCTTTCTTGGAAAAAAGAGTAAGAATTGAACACAAAAAACACAAAATCTCAATCCTGCGATAAAAAAAATCTCAGTGAAATGTCTTAATGCCTTTGAAACCTACCTTTTAGAATTTCTTTTGCTGCATTTTTGCCAGGTTTTTTCAATTCTATATTGCAGGTGTACTGGATAAAAACCTGACCATATTGCAGTAAACCGGACTCATCGACTACTCCAAACATAGTACGTCCAAGCTTAATAGGCACTTGAATCTGCTCTTTTGCAAGTTGCTTCTCTGCAAAAAAAACTTTTATAAAAACTTTTTAGAGGATGAATCAGACAAAGTCAGGGCACCAAACAGCAAGTCACATCGTGAAAGAAATTTAAAAAGACGTAGAGCCACAACATTTCAATGACGACAGAGCTACCTACTTAAAGTGAATTTAGCACTGGCATAAAGAAGGCTTCTGAAAAAGGGTTCTTGAGTTAGAGCGAACCCTCTAACCACCTTAAGATATTCGACAGAAATTCTTTTTGGCAGTTCATTCAAACGTTTCCGGCAACTGCAAAAGAAGAAAGAAAAAAAAACAAAGAAAGATTAGATAAGAAGTTTATTAAAAGACACCAGGGAGTTTAGCACATGGAGCACATAAAAATGGTACAAATGGTTAACAAGAAGTTTTCGCAAGATCGCCACCATAACTGTACAATCTGAACAAACGTGTTGAGAGAGATATATGAATGAACTTTTACGCTGACCAAGTAAAAACTTCTTTCCGTTTTGAAATTATTTACTCCTGCTTCTAAATAATGTAATGATGCAGACTTATGGAGAAAAAGGAGGAGTAAAGAAACAATAATTGACTTTTTTTAAACCAAAGACTGGTGAAATAGTTTTGCTCAAAAACATTTCAAATTTACTTGAGGTTACTATGGCGAATATATAAGTTCGTATGCCGCAGCAGAGGTCAAAACAAAATTTCGATATCTTCTATGGTATTTGTTTTATCCCCTAACTTAAACAAAATAAATGGTCGTCCGTAGCAGAATTTTAAATGAAGAATTAGTTGTACTGCTCAACGATATAACGAAGAAACAACCTGTCCTCATTCATAAACATTTCAGCCATCTCCATCAACTGACGATCCAAAAAAGAGTGAACACGTCCACAAACCCTTGCATGTAACGCATGTCCTTGCATCTCACTAACCTAGAAAAATCAAAGATAATACTTATACTGGTATAAAGTTCGTGACTAGAATCTTGATCGTTATAAATTAATCAAGTCGCAGTACTGGCGACGGTAATGCTTAATGTCCTCAAAGTAAAATCCAGTTCCAGCAGAAAATAAAAGAACATAAACCATAACTTTTTGTCAGGTACTGCTATCTCAAATACACTTTAAAACTGGGTGGCTGATGTAATCCTAGTCTCAACTTAAAAAACGCCAATGATAAGTCATCCAAACTGCATCCACCATACTGCTGGACCGTGACAAACTGTTCAGCAAACTGGTATTTGAATGCCATTCTCTAACTTTTTTTCAAAAAATACTTCTTAAACAACAACTTTTGTTGAGTATTTAAAATTTTAATATTAATTCTGCCTACTTGTATACAAAATAACATTAAAAAATCAATGTTCCTAAGCATAACAAAGTTTTTGGAATTCTTCTTGCACTGGTCAGACTTTTTTCGTCGTGAAATACAGCGTAATAATGCCGTAAAGCTCATTTTTCCAAGTTAAAAACGATAAAGAAATCAGAAATGTAAAAGTTTTTGCAGTTCTCCATCACTCTTCCTTATCACAGCCAACACCACAACGAATATTTTAAAAAGATTAACTTTTAGTAAAAGGTTTTCTCAAACTGTATTTCCAAAGTTTGCAACCAAAAGTTCTCTTTAGAAGAGAAAAGAAAAAAGCGCTGGTGAAATGAAAGAACTTAACTATCAATTATTCCAATAAGAAATACTAACAGTGGCCACAAAATTCGTATTTAATAAATGACGTTTAATCAGCTAAACTGAACTGATGTTTCGTTCCTTTTTCAAGTGCCATAGTTAAACTCTATGTTGAACTCACTCTTGGGAGTTAATTCCTAACGTTTGATAAATTCATATAGCTCATATGCCCTCAAAGTCAAAAGCTTGACAAGTAAATTTATGAAGTAAAACAAAATGAAACAATCCGTTTGATTCCTGCAAAACTATAATTACCAATAGATAGCGTAAAATATTTCAGAATCAACCATTATCTGATTTACAGTTATTAAATGCATACCTGATCCATGATATTGATAAGTGGTCGATTTAGCGCAACAGGAACTGGAGAAGAATATTTCACAATATCGATATTTTTCTGACGAGGACTATCAAACTTATCCTGAAAGAGACAATAATTAAGTAGAAAGTAAATTACACAGAATGAGTAATGTTGCTCTAATACCAAAACAACGACGATATTTTGAGATATGTTTGAGAAGAGTCAGTGTGATAAAAATCTAGGCAGGAAAATAAAAATAAGATGACGGAAACGACTGGAGAACTACTGTTTTATGTAGCTATTAACCACTCGTCGGTGATATCTCGCTAAAAAGTAAATCAGTGAGAAAAACTGTTTTATTCTCGCTAAAAAATGTCTTTTCTGGCAAAGCAGTAGTTCAACATCTAACAACCGCTACTAATCTAAATTAAGTGCATACTATCGTTGTGGTAAAAGGAGAGAATACAAAATCTTGGAAAAAACTCATAGATTAAAATGGAAATTCGGTGTCAGCAGCCAATTAAAAAAAGTAACTCTAAAATAAATGCACTCTATCATAAGGAAAACTTCTTTTAAATATCAATAGTTGAACCATTTTGCACACATAGTGTCTAAGCAATGAGTGCCTTTAGAAACCTGAGAAGGACGAAATAAGACATCTAAATCGAGAGTCTTATTGTATTCCTTTCCTTTATCCTCCACACAGTGCCTTTCAGCCCAATGACGACGTTCGTCTATCGCTGGATCAACCGATAAAACTCCCTTGATTCCACGGTATCTGATCTAAAAAAGGCTAAGAAAATGCAAATGAAGTGTTATTCGTACGCCCAGAAACATAAATCACACAGCAATGTATTACTGGTAAAATTAGAAAAATGGCCAATTAAAGTACCTGAAAACAGCTAGGCACAAAAGATCCCAAACCCATTTTTCCTGCTATCCTAGATGCGAAATTAAGGGAGAGTTTTCCAACACCGTCTGAGAAAGTATAAGATTCTCCGTTTGCATCTTTGCCTCCAACAAAATCGTGAGCTTTATTGTACTTTTTGCGCAGTAACACCTCACTGCTCCGCTGCAAAAATACCAAAAAATTTTACGATCAAAAAATTCGAAACACTGCTTCCAGAACGGCACCTCGGCCTGAGTAAAACACTGTCCCATTCGTGACATCAGTTTTGGAATATTCCTAATGTCAAAACGTCCCAAATTATCCCTAATTTTCTGCGCTTCTCCGCCTTCCCCATCATCGAAGAAATAACAGCCGTTGTCCCTCATCTGTGAATTCGAAGATGCCAGGTAGACGAAGTGACGGTCTTAAATAAAGACATGTACTACAATACAAACACGCAACATATTCCAGAACAGCACATCAAATCAGAATTGAATAACAAGCAAAGCATTCAGGAAAGAAACCAAT